TCATTACAATTCCTGGGAAGCTGATGGCACGTGAAAGTGGGATTTCCCAACCAAAGGGGAAATGCTGCACAGCTGGATGGCAAAACCAAGCCACTGAAAAAAAGCTATATTGGTGGGGGGGCCCAGAAACCTCAGCTGGGTGTCACTGCAGGAAATAGTCTGATTCTAGCTCCAAGAACTGGCCAGCAGGAAACATGAATCAGTTTGCATGCCTTAGTGGGAGAAACAGAGGTATGATCAAGCCCACACCAGCCTTCCCCAGTCAGACCAGGAAATCCAGCTGATTTCAATCATGGCCTGGGCTCACTTGATGGACAGCTGAGACTGCCCACATCAGGTCAGCCTTCCATACAAGTGCAAGAACTCTGCCAAGGTAAAGACAACCTGGAGTTTGCATTTCCTTGCTAGGCATCCCAAGGTTGCATCTGGGTGACATGTTGCCAAAAACTGGTGGTACAATTTCCCACTATTTTCCAGTGGAAAAGGCATGGGAGAAGGGTCATTGAACCATCAAACAGGATCAGCACCAAACAGCAAGCAAACAAGGGATACCAGAACTCCCAAAGGCTAAACTTTGCCTCTCCAACCACATATCCAAATCCTGAAGAAACTTATCAGCATCCACTTCCATATTATGACCTCACCATCTTGCCCCCTGCTCTTAGTACTAATAATCATAAATTGCAACTTCATAAGTTGGCCACCACTGTTCCAAAAGTCGAGCTGCCCTCAAGTCCAACTAATATCTCATGAAATCAAAGATGCAGTTTTCTTGGCAGCAACATGGAAATGGTTTCCCACTGCCTTCTTCTGGGATAGATCACACTCTTGGGATTTCCTAGTGGTGTCCCATCCAAGTAGGGTCAACCCTGTTTAGCTTCCAAACACAACCCACAATGTTTGAAACTAATAGAAATTCAGAATTTATACAGCCCTGTTAATAGAGTCTGGAGCTAAACTTTTACGTGTGCCAAGGTGGGTATGAAGATTTGGGATTCATCTTAATGGTGCAACTATCTAATCTGACTCAACTTGAAGCTGTAGGAGAAAGGATTTATATAGGACTCATTTGCTGAAGAATGATTATTAGATGTGGAAGGGGTTATGTTCTCTATTCATTTTGCGAAAGCGCCTGTAAGTTTTTCTCAACTTCACAAATGGGAAACAGGGACAGAAATGTTGCTTCCCCCTACCCCAACACATAAGACCAAATGGGCTGGATCAGAGAAACCACAGAGATAAACCAAAGGGATCATCCTTCCTCACCATAATTAACCAGCTGCTGTAGGAAGCGCTAAAGCAAGATAGAACAAGAGAGAGATATAATATCCTATTTTTGTAATTGGCATTTAAGGGGAAATGTTCGACAGATGGAATGTTCCATGGAATCTTAATAGATGCACAGATTCATCACAGGAGATGTGGCCCTCCAGCCTCTGACTGAGAACCTTCAGATTTTGCTTTCAAGAAATCTGAGTCTTCCTTATGTACGAGGACTCAACTCCTATGATGTCATAGACTAGACAACTCTGCCTAGAGCAAGAAAAGAACTGAACCGGTTGAGAAGCCAAAAAAACCAAGATAACCAAAATAGGTGACTTCTCAGGGAGGATTCCACAATCTTTCTTCAGTTTTCCATCCATCATGGCTTCCAGAACGCATTCCCCAAATTGCAGTCCAGCAACATCGCTAACAGCCCTCGAAGACCCATCCCCTTCTCAGAACTACAGATCCCACAATGCCGTGCAAACAGAATCACTGTTAAACCACATTTTTGGTAGTAGACTTTGGGGCACGTTGTGATGCCCCAAAGGGCGTGAAGCTTCCAGCTTGGGTTGCCATTTTGCTTTCCCACAATGCCTTTGTTGGCCAGCCTATGCTAGGGCATTGTGGGAAATCAAAGTGGCAGAAAGTCCCAGTCACCTGGTACTGATCTGCCTATCAGGGTAGTTTGGTAGTGGGGAATCTTGGTTAGGAACTGAGGTCCTGGCAGCAGACAAGCTGCTGTTCATGTTGACCTGCAGACCCAGTGAACTGTAGCTCACTCCTGAATCTAAGTTTGGTTTACTTATTTTATTTATTTATCATACGTATACGGCCGCCCATCTCACAAAAAGTGATTCTGGGTGGCATACAGCAATTCATTAAAACAATCAATATCTATAAAAAAAACAGTCATTAAAATGTTTTAAAAAAACACAAGGCACAAGACAGAATGAATATTAACGACAGTAATGGAGCCATCTCAAGATTTCACTGGTCCCCTTGGTTCCTTCTGCTAATTCCTACCTAGAGAAGAAACATCCCCCTCTCCCTTATTTCATTGAGAAGCGATGTCCTTCTTTCCACCCTTGATGAGACATTTTCAATTACCTTTGACATTTCAACCTGCATTCCAAAGCCACCAGATTGTCCATCGCAGACGTCGGACCCCAAGTCACGTACAACATCCATGGATGGCATTTGTCTAACTCATCAATCAAACCATTTTTAAAAATGCCCCAATTCCAGCAAGATGGCCAAGGTTTCATCAGAATGCCGAATCTCACACCATCTGGGGCAAGAATGCCGAAATCTTGCGAAAAGGGATGGGAGCAACGAAATCTCGTGGGATTTTTGCGTGTTGTTTTTGGTCCAGCAACATTTTAGCTACTGTATATATTTGCAAATAAGCTGAGAATTTTAGGTGCCCAAATCTACCCCAAAATTTGGATTCGGCTTATCCGCAGATTGGGTTATCCACAAGGATATATGGTAATACTTTTTAAAAATCCCCCATATCCTGTACATACTCATGGATAAGCCCATCGATAGATAAGCTGACCCTTGAATTTTTAACCAAAATACCATGAAAATTGGATAATCCATGGTTTACCCACGGATAAGCCAATTGTGAACATTAAAACATACAAACATTTTAAGGGTCAGCTTCTCCATGGGAGGCACATTTTTCATGGTATTTTAGTTAAAAATTCGAGGATCAGTTTATGCACGGATGGGTTTATCCGTGAATATATATGGCATTTTCCTCCCCTGGCCCACCCCAAGTGCTGGGCACATTTGCACCACCGTGCACAGCAACTAGAACAGTGTTTCTCAACCTTGGTAGCTTGAAAATGTGTGGACTTCAACTCCCAGAATTCCCCAGCCAGCATGGGAAATGAGGAATTCTGGGAGTTGGAGTCCACACACGCTGCCAAGGTCAAGAAACACTGATCTAGACAGACACAACTCCTGGTATATTTAAAAATGGAGGGACCCCTGAAAGTGACACCCCTTCCCCTCATCCCCTAATCAAAAGAGTGAGAGAAAGCAAGCTGGGAAAAGAAAGGTCTTCCGTTAGTAACTCACCGAGTGCGCAGGAAAGGAGCTATTCTGATGGAGGAAGGAATTAGAGACGGACACGCTGAGGCCCTGAACTGTGCTGGTCTCCTCAGAGCCCAGGGGCCCTTGGGATGGTTGGACACAGTAGGAGACAGAAGAGAAGGAAGCAGCGAAAGAAGCCTGTAGGAGGGAGAGAAAGAAGAGGGGAGAGGAAGAAAGACGAAAGAAAAAGGAACAACGTGCATTGATGGGAGATTAGAACTCAGTGCCTGCCTTGGGGTTGGACTAGAGGACCTCAAAGACCCCACCCAACCCTACAATTCTAGATTCTTCTTCTACCCAACTGGGGGAAATAGGATTAGGCAGTTGGAAACCAGCCATTTCATGCGAAGGCAATGGGTTGCCTAAGGAACGTTGTTTGCTTTCTGATCCCGTGGCGAGAGACGAAAGGTGAAGGAGTAAGGATTTGATCTTCTTCTTCAAAGAGGGACTGAACTGAAAGGGGAAAAGCCCAAATGAAAGAAAGCAGAAAAGGAACTAAGGGAGGTTGCAGGCAGTCCTTAGAAGGCAGAGCAACACGGGAGAGAAGAAACGGAGTA